AAAAAAAAGATGCTGGGTTGAAAGTTACTTTCAAATAAAATACTCAATGTCTATCTGAGTCCTCATGTTTATGAAATAAAAAGCTGAACTTATATTATCCACTAGCAGCAAAAAAAACATGCCACCTGCTGCAAACCAAAAATGCCGTCGGCTTCTGTGTGCTCTCATCCTTTTATCACATGGTGAAATATTGAACAAACATCCCTCTCCCAATGTAATAATGTTGCTGGAATTTTTATAAGAATCTTCTTAAAACAAAGAAGTAGATCTATATCTTCATTATGATTTAGCTGCAGCTCTTGTTCATTCACTAAAAACTGTTATTTTTAATCTTACATTATAAACTAGTAGGATTCCTTTAATATATTTTGAATAGGAGAACAGCTTCCTGCAGAGTCAAAGTCAGTGCTAAAGGGCTGCATGCATTAAACAGCAAACCCCATAAGTTCGTCTGCAGTAAAAGCAAATGAATCTACCCACGTACCATTAAACGTTCGGTTTTCTTCAGAAACTTTTATTTTCTTCGGATGTGTCCATGGTTGGAGTAGGGGTGGGGGAAAGCTCAGTATATCTGCACCAGTTGCAGATATAGGTGTGTTTAGTGACTGATTAGCAGATAAACAGTCAAGTGCTGTGAATTGTGAAAGGTCCCAAGCACAGCTTTTATCATTCAGATGAAGGAGATTAACATTGGGACAAAGAGAATCTTTCATGTAACATGAGAGCCTGCAGGAAGTTTGTTTAGCAGGGGAATGTAGTGATTTTCTTAACTAGCTGATTTACTTAACTAGCTTGTGCTGTGTTCCTGAGTGGAGCTTTGAGCAGATCAGCAGCTGTTCCGGCGCATGTTTTGAGTGATGGAGCCGCAGCAGAGGGGTTCAAGAGCCACGTGCGGCTCCAGAGCCGCGGGTTGCCAACCCCTGGCTTAGATGCTGCTTTCCAGGGTTTCATTGTTTTATCAAAACATTTTAAAGCCATGCACTATGTCATTCAGAACAATTGTATCACAAAATTGTTCCTGCTTATGGATGGCTAACAAGTGCATAGCAAGGACCAACACAGTGGCCCAGCCTTTCTGGATGTGGTGCCCTCCAGGTGTTTTGGACTTCTGTTCCCATCATGCCAGCCTAGATGGCTAATGGTCAGGAAAGTAGGGAATTGTAATCTGGAGGGCATCAGCTTGGAAAAGGCTGCAGTATTGCAAGAAATGGAAGGGATAGGCCAAAAACATGAAGGGAAGGAGTTACACAGAGAGTATGTACAGCAGCTCAAACCCACTGGCAAAGGAACCATTTCTTTTTGCTTTGCCTTTGAGTAATAATGGGTGTACTACAAGAGTAACTCATGAATATCATGAGTAACTTCAGCTACCCTCACATTGACTGGATAAATGTATGCTGTAGTTCTGAAAAAGAGGTTAACTTGCTTGATGTCTGAAATGACTGTGCATGAGAAGAGCTGGTGGTGGAACAGACAAATGGAGAAACAATCCTGGATTCTCTCTTAGTTGAGGTTGCCCAGAAGCTAGTATGAGCTGTAGATTTTGAACCAATTAGAAACAGTGACCATCATGCTATCAGATTCAATATGTATTTAAATAAAAGATTGCCAAAGACTTCAAAAGAAGAAATTTTTCTAAAATGAGAGAACTGGTAAAAAGAAAATTGAAATAGGGAGTCAGGAGGCTAAATCCCTTCAAATGGCTTGGAGATTATTCAAAACTACAATAATGAAAGCTCAGTTAGTGTGTATACCACAATTTAGGAAAGGTACTCCAAAGTCCAAGAGATCACCAGAATGGTTAACAAGCTATGTCAAGCATGCTGCTAGAGAAGAGGCTTCTTTCAGAAAACAGTCATTGACATTCAGAAACAGTGTTGTCCAAATCAAGAAAACAAAAGGGAGAAAAGCATGCAAAAGGGAAACAGAAGCAATCAAAAGCATTGAAAACAAAACACAACACATTTTGAGCCATATATCATTGACAACCAGGCCAACAGTAATTAATTTTTTGAACATATCAGAAACAAGAAACTGGTTGAAAAAGCCATTGGATGATGACTGAGTTAAAGGAGTACCAAAGGAGGATAAGGAGATTACAGGGCAGTTGAATGGAGTATTTTAATCTGTTTTACTTGCAAAAGATCTGGGACAAATACCTGTAGCTGAACTAATGCATTTAGGAAGGAGTCTTAGATAGGCAGTGGTCACAAAAGATGAACTTCTCAGCTTTAATTAATAGGTTGAAAGCTAATATATCAGGCCCAGATGTTATCCATCCTACAGTTCTGAAAGAATGCAAGTATGACATTGCTAACTTTCTTACAAAATTATGTAACATGTCCCTAAGAGAAGTCTCTGCACCAGAGGACTGGAGAACAACTTACCTAACACAAATTTTAAAGGCATCCAGAGAGGATCTGGAAAATTGCAAACTGGTTAGTTTAACATCTGTTCCTGGTAAAATGTTGAAATGATTATTAAAGGTAGAATCAGTAAGCATACAGAAGGACAAGCCCTGCTGAAAAAGAATCGACATGGCTTCTGCAAAGACTTCCATGTATAGTGTATTCCATGGTGTATACAGTTCAGCTACATGAGATAATGTGATAGCCACCAGTTTGGATGGCTTTAAAGGGGGATTGTACAAATTCATGGAAGGAAGTTATCATGCCTACTAGTCCTGATGGCTATAGGGTATCTCCAGTAATAGAGGTTGTATGCCTACGTAGGCCAATTGCTGAAGAGGTTGAGCAGGAAAATGTTGTTGCACTGATATCTTGCTTAGAGCAACCTGTGGCAGTTGGTTGCCCGCTGTGTGAACAAAATGCCGGAATGAATGGACATGTGTTCTCACCCAGCATGGCTGCTCTTATGACTACTACCAGTCAAGGGTACCCCTGCAAGGGTACCCCTTGCTGCCCCTGCTCTCTAAAAGGAGTGGCAAACTTCAGCCACTGACCCTCCATTCAATGAAAGGGTTTCCCCCAGCTTCTAGCTCATGGAGGAGGACACATGCTTGAGGGAAGAAGTAAAAAAGCTGCCTTGGTCTCCTCTTGCACTGCATGGATCAACAGCTCAAAGAGAGTGAGTGGAACACGCTAAGGTTTTGGTGCCCTCTCAAAAGTGAGACCAGTACAAACTGACTCACCATGCCTCAAGATTGGAATTTTAGCTGTTGCCTTATTTTTGTTTGTGCTGCTGTTGCAATTCATCTTGTCTTTTATATGACACTAGTTTTGTAAACTGCTATGAAGGCTGTTGTCAAAAGACAGGGTAGCAATCCTTTAAATATGAAAGTTTTAAAAAGTGGCTCCCATACTACTACAATAATGCATGGCAGCCATCAACTCCTGCTTTTTATTTATTTAAAACTGCATTGAAATACGCAGGATGCTTAATTATAATATAGCTGTACCTCAGACGTGCCAATCAACACCCCCAAAGAGGCCAGCCATCTCTGAGATGCTTTGAAATCCACACTTACTCTGAAACAGTTGACTTGTGTACAGCATCACAGAAATGATAACTCAGAAGCTCACATCCATGTTTATGAATGCTGCTGAATG